TTGACACCTCTTTTCCACCTGCCCGTTAAGTTAGGTCGAACGCCACTGTTGGCTGAGGCCCTGGCTTCCTTCTGCGGCTCCCCCAAACCAAACACAACTTCCTAACTTACCCTCACCCTAAAATCGGTAGATCCCGAGCTCGCATCGCGAAACCACTCACCGGAGCCGAGCTCTACAGTGAGATACATGCACTCACCTCCGCAGCAACGCACTCCCGAAAGCCGCCACTTGAGACCGTTTAGGGATTAAGGATAAGTTTAGGGGTTTAGCGGTTTGATGTTTATGGCTTAAAGGTTTAGGGGATGTCATGCTGCATCTGGCGTCGTCCGCCCATTTTGGGGGGCGGAAAAAAAGCCAACTCTTGAATATATTCCTGGCTCTTACGGCCCCGGAATGAGGTAGGGCTTGAGATCGTTCCTTGTCCAGTTTTACGGATGATCTGGAAGCTAGAACATTAGGATTTAGGGATTAGGGTTTGGGGTTTAGGGTTTAGGAAGGAACCCTAATGTAGCACCGTCGTACTAGACTAGCCCGCAAAAGGTACAACGCTTCCGAGGCTCAGCTGCCTAGTGACTTAGTGATTCAGGTGGCAGCGTCGCGGCTCCTTGATGCTCTAAGCTAAACCCGAAACCCCCAACCCCAAACCTTAAAGGAAACTACAGGTGGGGAGTTTAGGGTATATTGGCTTCGAGAAGGCTTTTTTAAGGTATATAGACCTTCTATAAGGCTCCTATAACGCTAACTACCCACCTGAAAATGTCCTAGACAAACCCTAAACCCTAAACCCTTAACCCGACCCCGGGGATTCTTGGGGCTTTTTGGGGATCAAGAGCCAGGGAAGCGGACTGGATTCGAGCACGACCCGGAGAGCCCAATACAGCTTAATTTAAGGAATATAGCTTAAACCATCTTCATATTATCAAGATTTAAGCTATATTCCTTATTTAAGGGGTATTGGGCTCTCTGGGGACTTCTGGACAGATAAAAAGAGACGCAGGCTTCCATGAAGGAGACGTCGAAGGGGCGTGAGCTTCGGGTTTTGGGGGTGTTTGAAGGTCCTGCGCGTGTTTACAACGGCTTGGGGTTTCGGAGGATCTGTGCTGGGATTGTTCAGCAGCTTTGGGATCCATCCCCAGTCCGAACTCAGAAACATATATTTTTATATACTCAGTGGGAGTAGGGCTTAGGGTTTCGGATTAAGGGTCCGACAACCGATCCTTGAGGCTACCTCGGGGAGGCCTGTATCGAAACTCTACCAGAAAACCCGACAGACTAACACCACTTTTCGGGGAGATCTGTATCGAAACTCTGCCAGAAAACTCAAAAATAAAACGACCCTAAACCCTAAACCCTCAACCTTAAGCCCTAAACCCTAAACCCTAAACCCTAAACCCTAAAACCCTAAAACCCTAAAACCCTAAAACCCTAACACCCAAAAACCCTAAAACCCTAAAAACCCTAAAACCCTAAAACCCTTACGGTTTGGGGTTTAGGGTTT